ACTACTTTGTTTTTACTGTTCTAATATATTTTCAGGAAAATTGTAGCCTAGTGAACTGTAATTTTCAGATATAAACATATAATATTGTCCAGTATATGGTTTATGAAATATCTGTGACTTATAATACCAGGCAGTAAGACTATACATTCATTAGCCATTCCTTTGAGCCTTAAGTTGTTATTTTCTGCACGTACAACAGAAGTCCATCTATCATTTCTTGTATCCAGAAAAGTGAACAGGAATAGAGACATGCATTTGCACTAAACTTAGGTACACTATTTAGGTATTTCAAGAGTCAGTGACAAATTAACACCTCGGTGTGTATATGTATGTGTGTGTGTTTGCACGTGCACTTTGCATTCTGTGCATATAGTTTATATTAAAATGTAAATTCCAGTTATAACAAGCTGAACAATGTATTTTGATTTTTATGTATCTTTACAGTTATTCATAAAGTATGCTTAAATAGGAACAATTTTGTGCAGAAATGCTACATCTAACATTTCAAATTATTATTGCTGGACAAGAAGTAACCATCAGCAGGTTTTCAGAGGTGTTGAAGGGAAGCTGGTTTTACTTGGATTTTTATTTCATGTTTTACTTTTATTGGGTTGCCTTGATTTTGCATCAGTCCACATTTTCAGATACATATGTGCAAAAAACTATGTAGCCTTTACAGAAGAAAATATTGTTTCTTCAGGTTTGTCTGATGACCTGTTAGAGATTGGGCTTGTAACGCCTTATACTATCAATTTTCCCATAATTCTAACCTCAAAAGAAAAAAAAAAAAATACTTCACAAATTGCCTGTACACTGTGAATAAGTACATTTCAAACTATTTGTTAAATCATTTCCAGAAATAAACAAACTGCTGATTAACACTCAGGTTTTCAGTAACATTCATCTGCAGGATAGAGAAACTCGTACAGAACTAACATCATGTTGTCTTTTAAGACTTTCTGGACTATATGGAAGCTTATGAAATCATTTATAAATTTATGTGCTCATAGTGAGCATATAAAAAAGCATGAGAATTAGCAAAAGTAAAGAAAATACATAGAGTATGCTTTTGCTTGCTGTTGTTCATTTAATCTCTCATGAAAAACAAGTTTAAAATTTAAATTGCCCTTTGGAGCAGCAGCAACAATAGCTACATGAAAATGGATAGAGATGATGACATGAATTAGCATCTGTCATTCACAGCATAATTGCAATCATTTTAATTTTATCACAGTGGATGAATTGTGATTTATCTTTTTAAAACTGTAAAAATGATGCAATTCATTACTTTACAAAATGTAACCCATTCCGGTAGAAGTAAATCTTCTTCTGAAATTTCTTTTCAATAAAAGAGAATAATAAGCTTTTGAATTACGTGTATACTTGGGACTTCATTCAGAACAATATATTTCAGTAAATTGGAACTATCTTCAGCATTAAAACAAAATAAGTTACATAAAATCATAGAAAAATTCAACTTGAAAAAGTCCTTGAGATATCACTTTATTTAATTACCAGATCAAAGTAGACTTAATAGACAATATTGTCCATGATGATTATTGCTTAAGTTGGAATGAAAAGTACACTTTTTTTTTTTTTTATTGTTAAGCTACTAAACTGATCTGGTATATAGTGTCTTTATTTTATGTGTGCTGCAAAATCCATTATTACAAGAAAAGAAAAAAAAGAAAAAAATAAATGGCAGGTAATTATGCAGAGATGCTAGCTTGTGTTTGACAGAATCAAGGCCAGATAACATGAATAAAACAATGGATTACGTTCTAGAATGTTCATTTGTCTCAGTGTCCCTGTTTATGAACCTGACAAACTTTTGCTGAAAGCTGGGAAACAAGAGCCTGCTATAATGAACAAGCAGTTTTACAGTCTACAATCTACACACTGGGCATAGGTCAGCCTCATATTTCCTCACTGGAAGGTATAACAGACTCAGAAGGTACAAGAAGCTGGCCCACGTATCAGGATTGGCACTTAGAGAATAAATGAATCATGCCATGCTGCTCTCAGTAAGCATTAATACTGGCAGCAGACTTAAGAAGGAAAAATACTAAATTAAGCCACTTTATTAGAATTTAAGACAGGAATTAAAACAGCTTAACTTGTGAACTTTACGGGTTAGATTTTACTGCTTTTTTTTTTTTTTTTAATAATACAATTGCCTTTGGCTGGAACTTTGGAACTTGTCTAAAACCATCCTCCTCTCACCCCTCATCCTTCAATTTTACTGACTGAGAAGAATTTTCTATCTATATTAGCACCCACTCCCATCCCTCACTTTATCAGCCATCTCACCTTTCTCTCCTGGGAAAGAGACAGAGAAGTGTTATCAATAGTTTGGTTTCAGCACTTATACTCAGACAAAGGATTGCACAAAGTCTGAAAGTTTAGTTCCAAAAAACCAGATGACAGATGAGGAGAAACAAGCCTATAAGCCATCTCTCTTCTAACATCTGAAAACTTACTGAAGTAGGATTTTCTCTCTCATAAATACACCAGCTGTGATGTGAATAAATGACCAGAAGCCTAGGTAGCAAAGTTTAAGTGAAGAATAAATCACAGTGGTACCTCTGTTTCAGTATGGACTAAAATAACTACACCAAAGGGAGTAGTTCTTAACAGTACTGAATCCCAAGGAAGTCTATGCAGACTTCTAGGAAGGATGTCAATTATGGCATCATATATTTGTGATAGGAACTAGAACTAGTACAGGCTAGAGTATTAGAGACTAGTCAAAACTCATTTAATATGAATCATTGAGCAGATGGTAGACTGCAAAACTGATTAGGGACAAGCGACCAACATGGACACAAAAATTCATATTCTACTGCCAAATCTCTCCATGATCCAACTTCTTATTGAAGGTCTTGTCAGGCTTTGTAACTCAAAGAAACAAAACAAAACAAAACAAAAACAAAACAAAACAAAAAAAAGAAACAAATACCAAATTCCACCACATAAAAGACAAACCAACATTTTTTTTTCATGAATGAAATATCCACCTTAAAAAATTTCCACTACCTTTAATTACATTGACATCAGTGTGCTTTCTTGTGTTTATAAAGACATTACTACAGGTCCGACAGACATCAGTAACACTTTTTCAGCCTATGCTGCTGTTATTAAAATGGACTTCAAAGCTGTGTATAAGTCCTGTCCTTTTTGCTAATAAGACACATTCTTCCACAAGCACAGTTCAGATCCTCAAGACAAAATCCACCTCATAAGTACTTTGTCCCTTAAAAGGGACAATACCCCTGAAGAAAAGTAAACAGCTCAATTCTACTTTATGTATGTACACAGTTCATCACTTCCTTCCCATAGTTTGGGTATGCCACTTATGTTTAAACCAATAACTGAACATTCATAACGAGGGGACAAAATTCAGAATTTCTTTTTAATGACACACAATGTTTTTTAGGAGTTATCAGATTCTGAGATACTTTGAAGAAAACTGAGATATTTTTTCCCAGACTAACCGCAAGATTTTCCTTAATAGTTCCTATATTTCATATATTCAGCAGTTCAGAAAATGCACAGAATTGACAAGAAGTACAAAGTACAAGAAAGAAAAGAGACAAAGAGAGAAAGACAGGGATTTTAATTGAGAAAACTCTTTCCCCACAGTAATTCTAATACATTGGAATTTCTATGTCAAAGATCTAAAAAGAAGCCAATAATTAGGAAATTTTGCTGTATAACCTACTTACATTTGTATTCCAGAGGAAGTTAATCAGTAAGTGCATACATTTAAGAATATCTGCAAAATTTTACCTGGATCTGGAAATGTTAATAATACATAGTAAAAATGCCTTTCGAGATTCTGAGATGGACATGCAGTGAGGATATAACACTAACAGCTTGCCTTCCAGTAGAAGTTGAAAACTCTAATCCAGACAGCTTTTACCAAACTCTCTACAGGACATCATGTGACAACACAGAACCATTTTTAATTCTTTCTATTTATGTTGTCACTTGTTGCTCAGGTAGAAGTCTTCTGTGCTAATAGCAATGGATCAGCCAAAATTAATTCTGAACTATTTTTCTTAACTTGAATTCTACCCTGTGTCCAAGGACACATTAAAGGCTGGGCAAGAAATAACAAGGTCAGAGGAAAAGCTTACGGCTAGTGAAAAGTTGAGAAAAACAATCAGGCTGAAGCATAAAGATTGAAGAAGCTATAAAGGCATATCAGTAGAGCACAGAAAGGGAATATGGAGCTACTGGGGCAAACAATGAAAGCAAATGTGGAATAAAAGAAAGGAAAGACGATATTCCCAGAAAAAAAAAAAAAAAAATGAACAGCAATGTGAATTGGGAAACAAGCAAAAGATAGTTTTAAAACAGGACCAATTTAGTGAGAAGAATAGAAAATTCTTTTAATCTCTAAAAACTGTGAAAATCAAGGTTGACTGGCACTGTGTGCTCTATTATGGGGCTAGTTTAGCTGGAGCTAAAAGTTTCTCTGTACTCAAAACGCAGAGTAAATTTTGAAGAGATTAAAAGTCAAACTCTTCTGATTTGTTAGAAGTAGCTTTCAGACAGGAGTTGATTATTTCTATTCATAAGCTCAAAGAGATACTCCTGAAGAAGCGTAAATCCAAAGCATGAGACATGTAATTTGCAAATCCAAGGGACACCCATATGTTTGCCATAGATTGCCACAACAAACCTGGGTCAAGCACTAAATATTTTTTAATAACATTACTTATGACCTAATTATTTATAAAGAAGGCATTTTAAATAAAATATTATGAAGTTTCAATTCTTTGATAACTGCTTTCTTCTCACAAAGAGGTTGTAATAGTTCAGGAATGGATTAAAAAAAAAACAAAACAAAACACAAAAACAAAACAATCCATACACAATCAAATTCCTTCACTAAAAATCACAGCTGAAACACTGCAGTAATTTTCAGGCCAAAGTCTTCCTGTCCCTTCACCTCAGCTACTCAAAAGACTCCCAGGAGCTGCTGAGTAACTCACCGTCAGAGCCAGAAGCTTTCCATAGGTGAGATGTGCAGGGATGTGGTCGCTCTTGGATCGCAGTGACTCCACATACCAGTGCTCTGCTTCTGGCAGACGGCTCATTCTCATATAGGCTTCTCCTACAGGGTCAAACAAATGCTAGTGAGAATATCCCCAACATTTTCAAGTTTCCCATAGATTTATTATCTCATTTATAATTTTTTTTATTTACTAAATAGGCAAAGATCTTGGAAAGTGTGACGTGCTTTGAATGTCGGCAATTAAAAATAACAGTAAACAGTCTCACTGAGACTTCTAAGTTATGGCCTCACTGAGGCTGAAAGAGTGTGGTTTAGGAAGCCTTGTAGTAGAATTGCAAGAGGTAGCTCCAACTGCCAAGTTTCAGTTATAAGTCTCTAACAGAATTTTTATCACATCTGCTACAGAAAAGTTACTTCTTGCCATAAGTCTACATTGCAGAGCAGGGAGTAGAAGGAATAATATAGAATGAGTTTGCAATTAACCATATCACATCAAGAATATAGACTTAAAAAATAAAAAAGAAAAAAAAAAGTAATGTTAAGAAAGCAATCCTGAAACCATTTTGGAGGGAAAGAACAATACAAAGAAGCCTAATCTCCATAGGTAGTCAAATTAGGTCATCTGCCACAAAAATATTAAACTAGAATACAGAATTCTAATTTTAAAATTGCTACTCTTAGGAAGTTGCATATGAAGGTCTGAGTTGGACTTTTTTTCAAAATAAAAGAGGCTGAGGCAGGCAATGTTGAAGAACACGATGTCAGAAGGACATATTGTGGTATAGATGATTGCAGTCCTTAAGTTTCTGAGAAAAGATTTACTATACTGGGAGGGCAAAGCTAAGAAACAATACAAAAGCAATCCAAGAAACAATACAATCCAATTTCTTGAAGGTTGTAAATAACCAGTATCAACAAGTACATAGTGGTGAAGAAAAGCTGCTTTCAAATTAGTTCTCTGCATCTCCCCTTTTGGAGAGGGTCCAGAGGAGGGCCACAAAAATGATCCAAGGGCTGGTGCAACTCTCTTATGAATGTAGGCTGAAGGAACTGGGCTTGTTCAGCCTACAAAAGAGAAGGCTGTGAGAAGACATCATTGTAGTCTTCCAGTATTTAAAGGGAGTTTATAATGATGAGGGAAATCAACTTTTTACATTGGTAAATGGTGATAGGACAAGGGAGAATGGCTTTAAACTAAAGGAAGGGAGATTCAGATTAGATGTCAGGGGGAAGTTGTTCACTGAGAGAGCAGTGAGGTGCTGGAACAGGTTGCCCAGAGAGGTTGTGGGTGCCCTCTCTGGAGCCTAGGTTGGATGGGATACTGGGCAATCTGATCTAGTATGTGACCTAGTGGCTGGCAACCCTGCCTCTGGCAGGGGAGTTGGAACTTAATCCTTGAGGTCCCTTCCAACTCAAGCAATTCTATGATTCTACAATTACTCTTCTATGATTCTACAATTACACAGCTCTTTTGCAAGAGCTCCAGGTGTATATAGCTCTAGGTGCCCGTTCCCAACTGAACAACTGAAAATGCCCACTTCAGTGTGCGGATTTCATCACTAGATTTTTTTTCCTATATTTGTCATAAAACACAGGAATCCTTGGTGAAATGTGGCAGAAGTTTGAGTTTCCAGATGTATGGGAATTGCTGTCACAGCCTAAATCAATGATTGAGCACCTGGTGAAGGGACACAGCCAGTCCTGGGTGCACATGTAAAAGCAATGCACCTGTGGGACCAGAAGGGGTGGAATCCAGTTCTTCCCTTCCCTAAGTCTCATTTAATGGCTGGCAGCTATGAGGGAAGGATCTCTACCTGGAGATGCCTCTTTCTGGAGTATTTGGTGAGCCCTGGTCCTTGGGACAGATAAGCAAATCTTTCTTTAACTGAGCTACAGCCATTGCCCTTTTTTGGGTAATTTAGAACTGGTTATCTGCTATCACCATTTCCTATATTGGAATTAGTCTTTTATTAAAAATTAGTTTTTTATTAAAAAATCCCTTAGCCTTGGATAGTGCAAATTCTAATATTTGCACTATCCAAGGCTAAGGGAGGCCAACATGAATTTTATCAGGAAATAGAATGTTTCCAAAAAAGGGTGCAGGTCTGTACATCCAGTAGACCAGGATTTCTAATTGAAGGGTCTACATAGCATTCCATATTCATATCCTATTCTTGATATCTGATTGCATACAGAAGTAGCTGATGTTTCAGCTCCAGCAGTACCCAACTCATTCTATTGCTGGTCCAATAGAGTTTTGCTGGCCAAGCTAGAAGAACAACTCCAGAAGAGCCCAAATCAAACCAAAACCAAAAAACGTCCAAGCTGGGGAAAAAGCAACAGCAAGCACAACATGAATGCTCCCCAAAACCTGTGATCAAATTCAGAGATATTAACAACATGGTAATGTTTTTTCCCCATTATGCTGACACTCACAAATAAGTAACATAACATTATGCATAATATATCTTAGTATGCACAAAACAAAGTCAAGAAATCAAGCGTGTGTGTATATATATATACATATATATGTAAGCAAATTTTCTATATTTCTCCAGGTTCTTTGGGACTGAAAGATCATCTCTAAAAATACAGCATGAACAACAAATGCTAAAATTATCCCTGGGTACATTAATTAAGAGTAAATAAATAATAACAATAGTAGAAAACATTAAATATTTATATTAACTAGTAAGAGAGAATCAGTTTGCTACCACTTGTTTCCTCAGAACCATTGACTTTATACTTGATAATGAAGTGTAATACAAGTTTAATGCAAAGCTTCCAATTAGAAAACACATGGTAGGTTTAGTATATACTGCATATTGTTAATTAAGAACCATTTGCATGAAAGCATCTTTCTTTCCAGAAGAAAGATATTTTTTTCCTTTTCTATCTATGTGGTTCTAGATTAACCTCCCACATGCTGACTTCCGATTTGCTTGGTTCATTATAGATAATGTAATTCTTTCAGTACCACAGCAGCCAGACCTCTACAAAACCCAAGCCAAAGCCATCTGTTTGCAGGGAACACAGCAGACTTATCAATGAATACAGTGAAGCCATGCTGCAAGAGCAAAAGCTTCTGCAAAAGCACTGTGCTTCTTTAGGTTCCACATACTCTCAGTTTCAGATTAAGAACATAAATTTTTCTGTAGTTCTTCTCTTAGGACCTCAAGAGATAATGGCTATAAAGACAACTGAAAAAAAAATCTCTCTGTGAAGGAGACATGCAGGGTAAATATGCTTTGTATCATCCTTGTACGTGTAATTATCTGCCACTGAAATATCTAGATGGTAAAACCGTAACATAGAAAAGGCCAGAACAGAGTAGAACTCAAAACAGCAAAGAAGACAGAGGTGCACTGTAAAAAGGAAAAGCTCTCCTATGAAACTTTAGTCATAATTTAAATTTCATTTTTCCATAATTTCTTTGAATTAGGAATATAAAGAGGTGGTCTTAGAAAAAAGATAGAAGCCTCTGCTCCTGTGTACTGCAACACCATAATGAATCTGCGTCCTTCCCAATGCAGCTGCACAGCCCTCTTGTGCAAATTAAGGCTGCAGATGTGCTTACCATAAATGCACAGCATATATGATTTCCTTCTTTTTTTCCCTTAGGTATCAGTGCATACAATAACATAATAAATCTAGGAGCATAGCTTGCTATAGTGTATTGATGTGTAGGATACACTACAAGAGATTCAGTCTTGGTGATAAATATGCAGTGCATGCACATCCTCTCTGAAACAGCTGAAGCGTGTGAGCTTAATGAGCATCACAATCTGCATAGACTAAGCATATTGTGTTCTTTTTTTCTTCCAGAGAATAATCTCCTTGAAGATTTCAAGAAATGCACTGTATTTTAAGCGGGTTTTTGATGGATAGGAGCCAATCCACATTTACTTTGAGCAGATTCTTCCAGGCCTCAATTAGCCAAAGCAAAGCCTTTGATCTGATTTAATTAGACCAGTAATCTACTCTTGAAAAAAAAAAAAAATACCTGATGTGGAAAACTTACAAAGGGCAAAACAAAATAGTTGCACCACAAAACAGCATGGATTTAGCACAGCTGTTTCCTGTTACACAAAGACTTCCACAGAATGGAAAATATTGACAGAAATGGCAGCACTGAGCTCACCTGAGACAGACAAGCTCATTTTCATTTTCCAACAGATGTGCAACCAGCAGTAAACTGCAAGGGTACAAACTGACCAAGAATTAATAACTGAACTAGTGATTGTACTCTTCATTATTTTTTTTTTTTTTTTTGTCAGTATACCATAGACATTCTACCAGAACAGTTGTTTGTTTGTTTGTTTTTAAATGCTCTTTATAGAAATACTTTCCATTAGAATCACACCTAACTGGGATTTCTGTAGTCCAGTTTCAGCACTGGATTTTATTTTTAGTCTACAAATGCCTCTTTTCATACAAAATCCTGTATGTTGAAAATACAAATACATGACAGGCTTAGACTCATGGCCTTTTCAGAAATTTGTCTAAGAAAATAAAAGCATTTCACAAGAAATTATAGTTCAATGGCCCAAAGAGAAAAAACTAAGATAATCTGAGAACCTGAAAAAAAAAAACCAACAAACCCAAACTGGTCTCAAATGCTGCATCCACAGTACCCTCAGCAACTCAGTGCAGTAACTTTCATACCCAGTTTGAATCCCTCACATGAATAAAGTGAAAAAACAGGAAAAGGGTCAATCAGCCCAGAGATCTACATACAGTTTTGAGCAGCAAATGTGAACTATAGAAGTCTGCAAAATTTGGGTACAGTTAGGATGGGGCTTGAAGGGGGAGAAGGGAACAAAATCTTTTACGCTTACTACTGGAGTCAACTCCATTCTTATTCTAGATCATCCAACAAAACAAACATATGAAATAAAAAAAATCCTTTTTTTACAACGAAGTTAATCTAACAGGAAAAGTTTTCACAATGTACCTTTAGCAAGCAATTACCAGCAAAGCTTTATAGAGGAACATAGTAAGTGCACTGATGGTTGGAGCTTAGACAAATGGAGGTACCACACTCTGCACAAGATATGACATGGGATATCCATTTCACAGCTTAATCATCTTTGGCTCTTAAAAAGTAAGCCTTGCACAGTATGAACTGTAAAACTACACCAACAAAAAGTGTTTCTTGGAGTACTGAACAACAGTTAAAAGTAATTCAATAAAAAAAGCATTTAGTGGGAGTGGGGGGCAAATAGGATAGGAACCTTAACAATATTAACAGGTTTGTACAAACAGCCACATCCACTCAAAAGCATAATCAAATAGATAGCTATGTTACAATCATCAACACAAAAAATCTCTCTACATGCTAAGCCTCCATGCTTATGATGCAAACTTCTGCACCAGATGTACAATCTGGCTCCCCTTTCCTTTTCTGTACCTGGCTTTCGCTATAGTATGATTTGTTTTCTGTCCATGTGCAATGTAGCACATTAGCAAGGAGAAATCTAAACTGCGCATCATTAACCATATTCACTCCTGCAATGCTAGCTTCTTTTATAACTTGCATTTCTCCTATAAAAAAGGTTTGAAAAACTTTGCATGAAATGCACTTGAAAATAGACATTCAGACATTAGTCAGCAAGAGCAGATGAAGTATGATCACAACATTTACCTTTATGACTTTATCTTGCCAGCTTAAACCTGAACACCACCACTCCAGCATCTCTGTTGTTGTTTTCAATATTAAAAAAAAGCTTTCATGCCCCACCTCACACCAATTCACTGGCAGGAGTACAAATTACTGTAGCAGGTGGACCAGCGTGGTTTTAAAAGCAATGTAATACAATCAACTGTACAATATCAGATTTCAAGAATGCAAAAGACATCGAGAGCAAAGGCTGATCCTTAAGCAATCCTAATATTGGCATTAAAGTGTTCAAGATCCCACAGGGACTATTTTATCTTTTGACCCTAGGTTTTAATTGAAACTTTAAACAAAATATATTACCTATTTAATGCAGCTGAGCTGGACTCTGGCCTTTGTAGTGCATGCTGTCATGCCAAACAAATTAATCTGTGTAACCTTAGTACGTACTTTTTAATTTACATCAAAGAAATATGACATAGAGAAAATAAATATCGAGCCAACCCTACACAGCCTGTTGAATAATTATTTTGTTTCTAGTTTTAGAGTTTAATTTTTAGCTGTTCGGAGTTCTTTAAATTAAAAAAAAAAAAAAGAAAAAGGTTTTACTTCTTGGTACAAAGCCAGAGAAACATATGGTTTCTTTAGCTGACTTGTTGAACACCTGGCAAAATAAATCACAGCAACAGGAGACCAAAATCTACTCTGCAACTTTTCATATGCACAAACTTAGAATAGTTGATGCAGGTCTTCTGGCCTTTTGTGTAATGATTAAAATGTAAAATCAAACGGATGGTTTGCTTCTTGAAGCCCACTATTTTTTCCTCTTTTAACAGGGAAGTTAGTTTGAGTTTTAAAGAATGAGTCAGCTGGACAGATTGGCACACTAGAGGAATGGGTCCCTGGGCCTGGCAGAGCAAAAGGCCAATAGAGGCAAATGCAGGAAAAGAACTGTAAGACAAACAGGGAAAGCAGGTGGTGTAAAGGCTTAATGCTACTGGAGTGCTAATGCTGCCGCACTTGGAGTGCTGGAGCTCAAAACCTGATTCATTCAAACAGTTCATCTTCTGTTTATTTTCCTTCATGTATTTTATCTACATTATACATGGAAAAAAGCCTTCATAAAATCTTCAGTGAAATAATCAACTAGTTATTGGAAATTAAAGGAAGTACTGTTTTCTTAGATCACATGCTGACACTGAAACAAGCAGAGCTACTGCCAGATACTTGGAATACATCAATCATAACAGTTACTACAGCAGATACATAATCCTCAAACTGTAACTACTCTTCACTTCCATGATAAACTATGAAGACCCTCTCCACATGTCTTGACAGGGAAAGATCCTTCCTTCCTGCACAGGTAGGGAGCACACCCCAGCTGCTCCTCCTTCTCCTCAGCACACAGTGAATGGGCACAGATCAGAGACAGCTTCATGCACCAAGCACATGAGACAGCACTGGCCTATTTCACTGCCTCAAAGTCTCCTAATTAAAGGCAAGCAGTAGCCAGACAAATTTATGTAAAGCTGTATATCAAAGGTAGTGTTATGGTGAGAGTGTTTATAACTTCGTCTTGAATATCAAAACAGAAATAAACAATCTAGTCAGCTCTCTGGTACCCAGTGGCACTGTATGAACTGCAGAGCAGATGCACTCCTGATAATGGATGTGTTCGCCTTGTTCTCCTGTCACTTTCGATGCAACGAGGTGACTGAATTGGTGTTTAGGATTTATCTCACCCAACTCAATCTAGCAATTCTAAGCCAGCCATCTCAGCTCCTTTTACAGAAGAAGTATGCTTGCAGAGGATTTTTCATGTAAACTAAAATAGGTGTTTAGGACAGGTGGGCTAAATTACTCCCCAGAGGTATCTTTTCTTCCCACAGGAAAAACCCAGCACAGCTACCCAGTTCTGACATTCCATCTGACCTTTACACTGTTACGGACAGGAGAGAACAGTCTGATTCAATTTGTCTAACTGCAGTATGAGTGTTGATGTGGACACACCCAGGACAGCTTTAAACAAACTGGCTGTTAGCATAGCTGCACTGAGCGCAGTTGAAGTCACCATCTGGCTCTTCACCTAGCCTCTCAGATTGCCTCTGCAATAGAGCCAATAAGCCACACCTCAGCAACGAAGCAAGTCCTGATTTCTCTGCAAAAGCTGCAATCACAACAGCAACCAAAATACAAATATACACCACGTACAGCATAAACTGTACTTTACAGAGCCCCATAATAGCCTGAAAGAGGCTATGGCAATCTCAGCTGGCCCTGACTTGTTATGCCACCAGGATATTTGTGGCTGTCAGCAGCTGCCTAAAGGCAGTGGAGCCTGGCGCGCACACTGAGCAGTGGAGGGAGCATGTGTAGCACCAGCCAAGCCTGGGCAAAGGACTGAGCTGGTCTTTGTGCTCACTGTCACTCAGTGAGTTAATACATGCAAATCCCAGAAGTAGAGTGAACTTGAACTTTGTGGACTGAGGAAAGGATAAAGAAAGTTGAGAAAGACCTCCTGAATCTAAAAAAGTAACCAACAGAAAAAGAAGCAATATATTAAAGAACCTTTTAGGTCATTATGATTCTAAAGGGAGCACCTATTCATGGGAAAGAAAAAGGGTGACACAGGCCTTATAATGAAACAACCATGATGTGGGAAACAGCATTGGTTTTCATCTTGTGATTTCTGCACTTCTGACAGCACTTTTATCAGAACTATGAAATATATATCTGTACTAAAGAGGGCAATCAAACTTCTGAGGGTTTGCTGGAGCCCTGCAGTACATCAAAAGCCACTACAGGACACCAATAATAAGCAGATGTTTAATTCCCACAGAGCTATGACTGCAGATAACCCCATCAAATCCATCAGTAAATGCTGATAAATAAAAATGATAAAGCAATAGTTTAGCTAAGACTTTCTAAAAAAAAAAAAAAAAAAGCATGTGCAAATTTTAGCCATTTGCATTGACCTGGTAGAGCTCAGAATTTAGGAAGAAGTAAATCTGCATTGAACTGTTTGAATTGTTAAGAAGACATTAGATACTTTGTCATAGTGACAAATACTTATTTTAGCATTTACAGAGATATGCAAATATGTAGCAACAGTTACAACCAGAGTTTCAGAGTACTTTTCCCATGTCCAAGAACCTGTAAGGAGCTACTGAAAGATAAATTTTCCAAATAAGTAGAGAAGAGTGAGTGGTGCCTCCTTTTGACAGCTGTGTTAACCAACACAGAGCCTTACCTTTTTGGCATGAGGGATCCTAATTGCTTCTACGTGTATTTTTTACTGCTTCACTTCAAACTATTTCAAACGCATCTTAAGACTGTTTCTTTCTCAGATAAGAGCTTGCAGAATCTACTCATCAGAAACTGAGGTGGGCTAGTAGAAATGCATGCTTCTTTAACAATAATTCCACTTAAAACATCTCAGGAACAATTCCTTTCCTGTTTTTTGCAGATCTGAATAGTACAAATAATACATATATTTTTTTCCTGTCACTCGTTTAATGTATTTTGTGTGAAGATGTGATTAAGAATACTATCTTATTAAGAATATTACCATATTAGATGAAATTTTGTTATAATTAGGATTACTTTCCACTGCGTTTTCTATAAAGCAAATGCAAACTCAGTTTCAAAGAGAAATAAATAAATTTAAAAAAAACTGAACACTCTTAGATATCCAACAATTGATAGTCTAGTCATGTTTCATACAGCACTGTATTTACTAGCATGTAAGCTCTTGAACCTTGTTTGGCTAGTATCTACTGAAAGCAACTATTTTGTTGTTATTAGCTAATTCATTCTGACGCAGTAACAATATACTTACCCATCATGTTGTATAAGCTCTGTGGTGCAAACTGCCTTGGCATTTTCTGTATTGCTTCTTTGTAAACAGTTAGGGCATCCTGAAGAGAGAGACACACATGGGACAAATCATTAGTAAAGGACCGATTTCAAAAGTGGTTCTACATATGAATTATAAACAATCTGTCTTCTTCAAATAAAGAGATGCAGAGAGAGAAAACACATCTGCATTATAAATATCACATAACTTTCACATTTTTCATATACAAAATTATACAAATTCAGTAAAGCTTGTTGGCAAGAGATCAAATTAGTTCCATTGATACAACTCCTTTCCCACATCAAAATTTCTTTAAATTCTTTGAAGACTCGTGAGCTTATGAATATATATAAAATTCTATATGCTAGTAAACAATATGGGATAATACCAAATAGTAGACAAAGGATTTTCTGATGACTAAGCTACAGTAAGTGACCTAAAAATAAAGAAATCATTTTCTACCACCAAGGAATAATAAAATATAAGCAAAAGCACAAGCAAAATTTTGCTGCACAGAATGAGATGGACTATAGTTAGGAATGCCAAAACCATCTTCCCTTCACAAACGTGCTGTGCTTTGAATTACCTCATTATGTACCTATGATTCATTCAGCACTTAGGATGCTTACTGGTCAGTCTGTTCACTATGCATCGCTTTCCATGTCATCACATCAAATAGTCACAGCTTCTGACAACTGAAATGTGACTGAAAAATCTAAATGTATGATCAAGCCTGGGTCAGACTGCCATGACCACCAGGCAGAAACCCAATGTTTTAAATTTTTAAAATCTCTTGTACCATGCAGGCATTGCACTCTACACTCTATCAGCCATGCAGGCAATATGCTGCTGTTCTCTTATCTTTACGGATGTATTAGCTGTCTGTGCCTGTTTTAACCAATTAGTAACTGCCATCTGACAGGGCTGGATTCGGCAGTCAGGTGATAGAGAATCTGTAGGCCTTGTGAATGTCTGATCTTAAACAACCAAGTTAGCTCTCACAGTCAGAAAGAGTTGCATGGATCAAAGTCACGTGTAACTCCTGTGCTGAAGTATCCTTGGCAATGCAAAGACAATGACTTTCTTTCAAATACTATAAGAGGTGAAAACTCAAGCAAATAACCAGTTTTAAAAATTTCCTAGGGAGAATGGAGAGAAATTTCAGCAGTCACGTGTAAATGAGATAGATGTGTTGGGTGCCATGTAACTACCTATAAAAAATTCAACTTACTATGGCACTTAGGCCAAATTATCTCAAAACAGCACTAGGATTTTAGCATACATAACAAACTGGGATGTTTCCAATCACTGAAGTTTTGAATTATTCCAACTAAGTTTAATTCTTGGAAACATTAATGCATTTTAATAACTAAAGATGGACACACTATTTTGAAGTAAAAAGCCAATATGAATTAGGTCAGCTGGACTGTAGCAGCCTAATTCTTTTCCCAGCAACAGGGACAAAGACAAAAAGAATGAATTAGCACATAATCAGATGTGATCACTGATAATACCAATTCTGACACCAGAACATCACACTGCAAATTAACATTTTCCCACCCATGGTTGTAGAGAATAACTACTCTCCGCAGAGAATACTAATCATGATTTGGTGAAATTCAGTCAATTACTGCCTGTGTCGTGTTTTGACAGTCTGGATGGAAACAGTGGGCCACTATTTGTGCATGCTATTGTAACAAATCTGGAGTGTTACCTCATAGTGTCCTTGTTCATGAAAAAGTTTTCCTAAATTATAAAGACAACTAGTAACAGAGCTTTTATGAGCATGAGGATCTTTCAAATTTTCATCAGGGATCTCTGAACACTTTAGGAATGTCCTCCTGGCTTCCTCTGTCTTCCCTTGGTTCATCAGGATGATGCCAGTATTTAAATAGGCAGCTGTGAAGATGGAAAGAAATGTCATATTTTTAAGGTAATATCAGAAAGAGATCCTGTTACTATCTAATTTGCTTTTGTATAATATAGATCAATTACTGCTATAAAGAGGAACAGGTAAGAGTGTAATTGTTCAGAAGCAAGGAAAGGAGAATAGAAGCTATAAAGACTGAGGAAAGCGAAAAGGGAATACTGGTTGAGCTGTGCACTCCATGTCATTCCTTTTATTAGGAGTGTATCAAGCATATACTGTCAGTGCTTGAAATGTTGAAAACTTGGTCTTTTTTTGATAAAAATATATTGATATGTCTATGCACATGTATTGTGTACACACACACGGACATGTGGAAGATTCAATATTTCACCTACAAAAAAAATCACTTTAAAAGTATTTACTTAATTTTGGAACAACACTTAAGTTTGGGCAACACCTTATGGATTATTTCCATTTTTTCCATATAAGAAAAGAAAAATTAAAAGACTTAAAAATATTTATATTATGCACTTACAACACTTAGTAAAATAATCAGAGACCGGCTGTAGAAAAGAGATAACAGGAGCCTATAAATTTGGGCAGAAATATCTACAGATAACAATGCCAGAAACGTTTTAACTTCTACCTGTGCTGTCCAGTGTTAAACCCCTATCTGCTTCTTCCCTTCACCACAGTAAATAAAACCACTGTAAAATTTCACCGCAGTAAAACAATGTTTTCAGCTTGGAAAGGGTGAAATCTCTTATTTCACTTTCAGAAAGAAAAAAATGTGTGTGGGGAAAAAAAAGAAAGTGTTATTAAAGAGTAGGAAGATATCCTTTAAAATGCTAATCAATGTCATGCAAGTTTGTTGAGCTGAAATACTTACAAGCTAATGTGGGTCTGCTACCAATAGCCAGTTTATAGTAATGCAATGCCTCTGAAAACCTGTTGTTCTCTTGAAGAAGTAATCCTCTGCACACAGATGAAAGAGAAAAAGAGAGGGAGGAAGGTTATTCAAAGTGTAATTTCAAAATATATTTTTTTGTCTCATCAAATTAAACATGTATATGAAAAACAAAACTGAGGTTGTGGGTTTTCCCTCCCTGGAAACATTCAAGGCCAGGCTGGATGGGGCTGTGACCAGGTCTAGAGGGAGGTGTCCCTGCCTATAGCAGAGGAGCTGGAACTAGGTGATCTTAAAGGTCCCTTCCAACCCAAACTGTTCTATGCTTCTATGATAAGCTGAGAGAAATATAATAAATTTGCATGTTACTAACAATTCACTTGGAATTTTTTTGGCCTAACAGGATTAACTCATAGACAAAAGGTATGTTCATATGGCTTTACCAAAGCTGTTACATTCAGTAGTTTCAGCTTGATAGAAACAAGAAGATTCATTGACTCATTTGATAAAATGATTTTTTAAAGTGGTTGGTGGAGTTATTTGTAACCTTTAAGTCACTCATGTTTAGTTTGTTTTCTCTCCTTGACTTGAATTAAGCAGACTTTTTTCAAATGCATAATAAAGTTAACCACCTAACACTTCTTTTGTATTACCTTAACCAGTTCTTGCTGATCAATTTCACTAGATTATCCAAGATAGGGCTAAGCATCTACATCCATTCTTTTTTTTTTTCTCACGTCTTCTTTCTGCTCTGACCAAATTTAATAACTTAAGAGATGTCAAAAATGATTCTTAATTCTTCCAGTTCTGTTAGTTTCATAATTCATGAGCTTTAATTAAAGCTTTTATGACAAGTATCTCTGTGAATTACAAATTACAGAAGTCATACAGAAGGTACTGAGAAATTAGTGATGTGGAAATCATGAATTCACAACTGTATGCTTAAATGAGCATTCAAAGCATTACAGCATTCCCAAAGTTTTAAGATCAGAAGTATACACAAATGCCTTAGAAAAGCAAATATAAGAAAATCCTTAATAACTAGCTATCTTAGAGCTTGGACTGAGCACATGATCCAGTGGGAGACGACCCTGTGTATACACCTCAAAGTACTCAGGAAAAAAAAAAGTATTTCTTTTAGAAGGTGGAAGATGGAGGATTATAATCTCTATTTCTATTTTTCCTACAGAATCTTTCTCTCCTTCCTCTATGCTTCTGATAATAGCTTTTCAAACTGCAAAGAGGTTGGTCTTTTTCCTTTATCCATTTTCAATCAGAAAATCTTTTTCCCTCCAAAGTCTCAGGAAAACTTCTTGAATCAAACCAGTAGACTTCATGGGAATTTAAAAAAGTATTATTTGCTTCTGATCACTGGGTCAGAATTCAACAGAATGAAAGAACATATACATTTTCTCCATCTGTAACACGTAGCCTCACGTTTGAAATAGTATCTGTCCATTAGCCCCAAGTCAGTCAGTAAAGGACTTCCTTCCTATTTCCAGTATAAGCTCTTCTGCATATTAAGAGAAGTAATTGGTTAACACAAACACAAGAAATTGTCTTGGTATGCATACGTCAATTACACTTCTTGGATTAAAAGCACTTTCATTTATAATTATTACCAAATTTATCTTTTCTGCCCAGTACATGTTCTACTACTTGCACTCTTAATTTATTACTTGAACTTTAAGGTTGTTTGTTTTTTTTCCTTCCCATACTTCTACTCCAAACAAAGCAAAACAAAACAAAATACAGTTGGTCCTCTAACAGACATTCTCTTTCTCTCACAAACATATAAAAACATAAACAACTGCTTGGATGCACAATTGAGTATTGAATTAATTGCATTAATTTCAAATATTTTCATTTCTATTATTTATGAGATTTGGTCTGAACAAAACAAAATATAAACAGAAGGATGGATATGACCTAAAAACCTTGACCAGGCATGAAACTGCTCCTACTCTCCTTGTGAAATCAGTCCTGATTGATCACTGGTTTTCCCTGTGGCTACTGGTAATACAAGCTGACTAGATTTATGAGCTTCTATTTCTAGTTTCAGGTTAAACAAAGATAGGAAAAGTTGTGAAGAAAAATTCAAAAATGTAATTTTCATTGAGTACAACTAACAGAAAAATAGTTTAAAGAGATGTACCTACAGGGAGACACTTCACTTTCCAGATGAAAAATCAGTTCCTCCCTGGCTTTAAGCTCAAACAGGATTATGCAGGCATATAAATATGCTCAATAACCTCTAAGGTCAGTGCAGGAGGAGGGCAGGAGGTGCTCCAGGCACGGAGCAGAAGCTCCCTGCAGCCCAGAAGAGGCTCACAGTGGGGCAGGAGGACTGGGGGAGCTGCTCTGTAGCAGTCTCTGAAGGGCAGGCCTCATGGTACACAGCCATGTTGGAGAAGTGCTTGAGGTACTGAGGAGCATGGAGAGGGGCAGAAAAAGTGAGACCCATAGACTGTAACCATGTAAGCCCATGACCTTTGAAATGCTTTGTATTTTTTGTTCAGATCCACTGTGATAGTTTCAATTCCCTCCTTCCTTTCTTCCTTCCTTCCCCTATAGCTGATTGCTAGGGATAAAGTTGGAAAATGGCAATGGCAGATGGAGTCTCTGCTTCTTCTATTGGCTTTCAAACTTTTCAGTCAAAAATAAGTTCCTTTCCATTCATCCGAAAAGGAGTGATAATGAATGAATGATGAGTCTATAAAAAATGACAAACTGTCAGGAAAAGCTTCCTGCATGCACATTTCCATTTTTATGTGGGGGGGAAATGAAAGGATTAAATGTTTATCTATTTCCACAATCAAACTTTTTTTTTTTTTAAAGCTTTTTATTATGCTTAGTTACATTGAAGATATCTTTGGGGCACTTTTTTTTCATGGAGAAAGTTAATTTTTTTCTCACGTTGTCATTTCTACTGTCTACAGTAAGTGTAGGGACAAAAGAAAACGTTGGCTCTGAATGACCAGTTTCTAGATGCAGAGGAATAATGCCCCTAAGTGGAAACTCGCACCTTGCGGGCACAGCCTAGTCTCTGATAGCTCCCAGCAGTGGAGGCAGATGGCCACATATGGAAGTTCCTCCTCTGCCAGGAATGGATCTGTTCTGGATATGCCATTCCCTTCCTCTGTTTACACTTTTAAATGATAACTACTCGTCAGAGGTTACTCGTCAGAAGACATAAGGAGTGGATAGAAAGAATATGAAAGAGGAGGGGGGTACAGTGCAGAGCACTGACCAAAAGCCAATTGTGAATCAGGACAATAAATCTGCATTAAGTATGTATCTGTGCTTAGTCGTTACAGAGATACAAAGCCTGCCTTTTTCCTCACACAAGCATGAACAAACGAAAGTATGTCTTTGCAATAACGATGCTTGATACAAGGAAGCCGGCTCAACTGGTGAGCTTAGATGAGTACAGAAGGTCTTGAAGGCTTTTGCCAGTTTTAATAAACTTTCTACAGTGGCTAGGGATACTCAAGCTAAATAAATAAAAGAGCATAATCCCAAATACCCTGAAAAGAAGCCTCCAAAAACAAACAAAAAACAACAGCAAACTACTTGACAAACTGAATAAAGTTTGCAGTTTTCAAGCTCTTTTTTCCCTACAGTTCATTTCCCAGCTGTAAAGCATGTAAGTTAAAACATTAATTGAAACACACAACTTTTGTTCAAAGAAAGTTTACTCACATAATTGAACAAATGTGAAGTCTACCAGATGAAAGGGGGCAAAAAAGAGTCAGTGGCTCCTTTTGCTTAGTAAAAGCAAGGACTGTAGAGGAATAAATTTTCCCTCTAAAAATACATGAGGATGAAATTACTTGTAAAAGGAAAAGCTACTTAAACCACACGACACAAAGTAAATGGATATAAATTGACCATGAACTAATTTAGGAAGAATTAGTAGACAAGTTTTAGCTATCACAGCAGCAAAACTCTGGAACATCCTTACAACAGGCTTTTTTTTTTTTTGTGTGTGTGTATGTACGTGTACTGCTTCTAGCTCAATTTACAGTGGAGTGTGAATCACTTGTGAAATGGAGGATATGAGCTGACTACTTGTAGCATTAGCAGACCTCAACCACCAACACTGGAATCATCTTGGAATCCTGCTTGTCTAGTTGCAGGAAAAATAAAAAGAAAAAAGTTAACTTTTGAGTATCTAGAAATGCTGAACACTACTTCCATAAATATGAGCTGCTTATTTACACATATGAAGCAGAACGCTTCCCAAAACTAGTTCTTCTCTGAAAGCATCCTGAATTCTTTAAGCTGCCAATTTTCATCTATCTTCTTTGACCAACAACTTGAAAAAGTCTTCCTGCCTTCCTTCTTGGCCTTGTTTTTGTTATAAAGTCACTGAATACTAATAGGAAAAATTATTTTCAGGGACTGAAAAGTAGACACAAAACACAAATGGACAGTCTACTGCTTTCCTCTAGTTACACATTAATTTCTTCCTGGTGCAGTTCAGCTGCTCTGTTTAAAAAGTTAATTCCTTAATCACAAAAACTGACATATACCACATGTATGTAACCACATACATACAATACACAGGAACCATAACTGTCATGAAGGTAAACATGGATGTTAGTGAAATATCTATTAAAATTTCAGGCCAGCTACAGCAAAACCAGAAGTGTTTCGTCCAAACCAACTCTTTCAATGTCATTTGCAAAACTAATGGACAGAAAAATAGCAATAGAAAATGCAACAGCCCAGCACACGAAGCCAGTAAGTCTGCTCCTTAATTAATGTTTTTGTTGTTTTGTCTTGCTTTTAAGCAATTAAACCATTTAGCTACTCAACCAAATGACTGCTAACCTTTTCTAACAGTCTACAACTAGGTTCCATTAACAAGAATAGCAAACGGAGTACCTTTAATGTTTTCCAACAACATCCTGTTAGCAAATATGTAAATAGAACACAAATCCTAGTTTTTGTAGTCAATAATAATCCATATCCAGTAGGTAGTAACATAGAATGACTATTTCCTTTGCAGAATTTAATAATAAGAGAAAGCATAACCATATTAATAATTATTATTTTTTTTAAT